CACACACACACACACAGCACAATTATCCCGAGCGAGCGAGCAAGCAAATACCTGGGGCTGGAGCCTCGTGGAGTCCCCCGGTCCAACCTCCATCCAGTCCACAGTCCAGGCGCGTAGCGCGTCAAGCATTCGACGCACGACGCACGAGTGCGGGTGAGCGAGCAGCAGTGGTGGTAGCAGGTTGGTCGCGTGGGGGGCGCTGCAGTCCGAAAGAGAGAGAGAGATATTTGATCCATCCCCGTGCACCGTGCGCGCCACGCACGCACCCGCGGTCTGAACGCCCAGGCCGGGCGGGCCCCGACCCGCGCGTCACGCCTCACGACGGCACAAACCGCGGACGACGCGTCCCCGGGCGGCCCGGGTAGAAATAGCAACGGCCACCCGGAGGATCCACTAGCTCAGCTCAGCCCCCCTTACAGGAAACAACATCGCACTCCGCTCACAGCCCAGAGCCACCAACACCCACCTCTTCTCTTTCTCTTCCCCTCTCCCTCCCTTCGCGATCTCCCTTCCCCCGGCGCTAGCTCTTCGCCATCGCCGCACGAATCCTCCTCCCCTCGACTTCAGCTCAAGGGTTCGACGGCGAGCCACCGGCCGGAGCTACCGCGCAGAGGTACTTCCTTCCTCCCTTCCTTCTCGCCTGCCTTCTTCGTAGCCGGTAGGAAGCCAGGTCGGTTTTGAGCTTCACGAGCACTTGAAGAAAATGGAGATGGGTGCTGGGCTGCTGACCCTCCTTGTTCCGGCTTAGGGTTAGCTAGGGGGCTCCGGATGTTTGGTCGCGGCCGGTGCTTTCCCGGTGAATCGATGCTCAGTTCGTTAATTTTCTCGTGAGATCGGCAATTTGGATCGCACAAGCGAGAAAGAAGCGGCTTCCGTAGTTTTGTTTTGTTTTTGGCTACTTTTTTTTCTTTTTTGCGACAGTCGGCGTATTTTGCTTGCAAGCCTAGTCGGCGTAGTCGCACACCACCCGTACGGCCTCGGTACTAGCCTACTAGGCCATAACCATGCCTGCGAGCTACGGAGAATTTCTCTCAGACCGCGTCAAATGGTTATTTGTGCCTGCCAAAACAAGCAGATCCAGGGGCTTTTGACCATTGACTCGTGCGATCTTGTATATTTATTTCAGTGGATGTCGGTTAATTAATCCTGTCCCTGTGCCGGGACGGGAAAGGGAGTGTGGTTGGTTTGGTTGGGCCGACGGGCGGGTCAAACTGCTGCCCGTGCAGCTGGTTTGGTGCAGGGAAATTATGATGAGGTGGGGATTACTTTACGACCCGTTGTAGTCGTCTACAGGCCGCCTCTCTTTTGTTTGCGCGCGGTCAGGTCATACTCCTACTTTAGTAGTACGGCTGTTTTTTCTTTGCTGGGACTGGGAGGCTTGGCCGATGTAATCGTGACGATCTTCTTCGGTCAGCACTACTACACACCATGCTCCTCCCTTCACTTGCTTCTTGTTATCTGTAGGATGCCTACCACTACTAGTTGGTTCTCTACTACTACTCAAAGTGTTTTCTTCAGGCTAACTTGATCATCTGTTTATATATGCCTTGTTTGTGATCTTCTAATGCTAGTAGTATTACTTTTCATCACTATAAAAGTATGATCGCTTGTGATTGTTAGGCCCTTGTACTTTTGCATGTCTTTTTTTAGATACAGTATGTTATTATTTCCTGTATCTGAGATCGAGATGTTGTTTCCATGTATGCAATACACCAATTATAGCATCTCTGTTACTGGACGTGTAAGCTTGGCTGCCAGTTTTACCTTTGGAATTAGAACCTTGGTGTGCTTTTGTTCTTACAGTCTTATTACTGTCTTGTTTCAGATTTTCGTTTCATCTGGATTTCTGGGCTAGAAGATCCATGCAGTGATTAGTGTGTCAGATTCTTCACCGAACAAGTATGGCCGATACTCCAACTTCCCGGATGATCCACCCCTTCAGCAACATGCAGGGGCAGAACCCGAAACAGTTCCAGTTCCAGTACTCCGACAACCCACAGCATCCCTGCCGCCCTTACCAGCCATCTCCAGACACCCATGTTGTGCCACAGCATCACTACAGCCTCAAGTCCCACTCATCAGATGCTAGCTATGAGAACCAGGTTGCTCAGATGAAGCACACTTTGGACTCCTCGGCGGCAGACGGCTACATGAGGCATGACTCGCCCTCCAGCCATAGCTTCACTCCTCCGTCCATCAGGAGCGGCAGTGGCAGCCCTTCGTCTCACGACGACAGCCACTCCGACTCCACCAACGGATCTCCTGTGAGTGCTTCGTGCGTCACTGTGACTGAGGATCCTAACGATCTGAAGCAAAAGCTCAAGGACCTTGAGGCTGAAATGCTTGGGCCAGACGCTGAGATAGTTAACAGCCTGGAGAGCTCCGTGGCAAAGCAGCTATCGCTGGAGCCGGAGAAGTGGGCGCAGATGATGGACTTTCCCAGGGGCAACCTGAAGGAGCTGCTGCTTGCTTGTGCCAGAGCTGTGGAAGAGAAGAACATGTACGCGGTCGATGTGATGGTGCCGGAGCTGAGGAAGATGGTTTCGGTCTCCGGCACGCCGCTTGAGAGGCTGGGAGCCTACATGGTGGAAGGGCTCGTGGCCAGGCTCGCCTCCTCCGGCCACTCCATCTACAAAGCCTTGAGGTGCAAGGAGCCGAAGAGCTCTGACCTGCTGTCCTACATGCATTTCCTGTATGAGGCCTGCCCCTACTTCAAGTTCGGCTACATGTCGGCCAACGGCGCCATTGCGGAGGCTGTGAAGGGAGAGGACAGGATCCACATAATCGACTTCCATATCGCTCAAGGAGCTCAGTGGATCTCCCTCCTCCAGGCCCTTGCAGCCAGGCCCGGTGGGCCGCCGACCGTGAGGATCACAGGGCTTGATGATTCGGTGTCGGCCTACGCGCGAGGCGGTGGGCTGGACCTTGTTGGGAGGAGGCTGTCGCACATTGCTGGGCTCTGCAAAGTTCCCTTTGAGTTCCACTCGGTCGCCATGGCCGGCGAAGAGGTGGAAGAGGGGCACCTCGGGGTCATCCCCGGGGAGGCTCTGGCGGTGAACTTCACCCTGGAGCTGCACCACATCCCGGACGAGACGGTGAGCACAGCGAACCACCGGGACCGGATCCTGCGGCTGGTGAAGAGCCTGAGGCCCAAGGTGCTGACCCTGGTGGAGCAGGAGTCCAACACCAACACGGCCCCGTTCCCGCAGAGGTTCGCGGAGACGCTGGAGTACTACACGGCCATCTTCGAGTCCATCGACCTGACGCTGCCGAGGGACGACAAGGAGCGGGTGAACATGGAGCAGCACTGCCTGGCGAGGGAGGTGGTGAACCTGATCGCGTGCGAGGGCGCGGAGCGGGTGGAGCGGCACGAGGTGTTCGGCAAGTGGAAGGCGCGCCTCACCATGGCCGGCTTCAGGCCGTCGCCGCTCAGCTCGCTGGTGAACGCCACCATCAGCACGCTGCTGCAGAGCTACTCGGAGAACTACAAGCTCGCCGAGAGGGACGGGGCGCTCTACCTCGGCTGGAAGAACAAGCCCCTCGTCGTCTCCTCCGCATGGCACTAGTGTTGTGGTGTTACTGCTTTGTGACTTCGCTGCTCGTAGACGAATCTAGATGCATGCTTTGTTGGACTCTAGGGTGATGCTGCTGCTGTGGAGAAGAATAGCTCCCAAGTAACCTGCTGTTGTAATGCCGAACTTAGGTCTAGGCCTGAATAAGGCTGATGAGATGTAGTGGTACAAGTTCGAGGGCTACAGTATATGTTTCAGTTTCAGACGTCTAATCTTAATGTAATTGCATTTAATTATGTCTCAATCAGCACTGCCGCGTAACTAAAATCATTTAGATGTCGGGTATTGGTGCTTTTGGAGTAGTTCTTTTTTCCTTTTTGAGGGTAAGCCATCATGGTGATTTTATTAATTTTCGAACATGGTTACATCATGCGCCGGGCAGATTCAAAATAAAAGTCGGGGGATCTCCCGTCATGCTCCCTCGACGTGAGCAGCTAATAAATGGGCTGCGATATTAATCTCTCTGGGACAGTGTTCTAGTCACATGAGAAAAATTCCTGACTAAGAACACACTCTTCGTAGATTGCCGAAGCTTCTGCCTTTGAATAGCCACCATCATGCATCGTCTAAACCACTTCCATGCAAGGATTAGACCATCCTTGGAAGTTCTAGCTTCCACAGTAGCTGCCAAGTTTACATGATGCCGCAAGACAAATTGCCCATGGTCATCTCTGATCACTGCCAGGGCCGCCCTGTGTTTTGGAAGGCCCTAGGCGAACTCAGTGACATGAGCCCCTATATAAATTTCAACCAAATTTGACTATAATAATTCAACTGACTCCATCGACAACAATAATAACTAAATTCGAACCGACTCCATCGACAACAATAATACTAAAAAGATGGCAAAATAAAACTAACATGCCATGATTACCTCAAATAAGAACCAAATTCAACTGACTCCATCGGCAACAATAATACTTCAGTGCTTCAAAAAAAGTTTCTTCAGACGTTTCTTGATGCAATAATACTTTCTTTTTTTACTCCTTTTTTCAGCACCAACATCTTCTTCCTAGGCAACATGGCAGGATAATGTCTTAAAATCATGAAGAAAAAAGGGTACAAAGAATTAAGAATTTATAATCGAATGATTGAAACCCTAGACATACATGTGGATAGTTGAATACATACATACTACTGAAATTGTCAAATTGGGATCTGGTGGGACGGATTAGGTCATCAGGAACATGAATGGATCATGGATAATATACGGGCTGAAAAAACTGACGGGTGGAATGGATCATGGATTACCTCATTGGCTCGTTGCAGACTTTGAGTTACTGGACTGCTATGCGGCGCACGCAGCGGCAAGCCGGCGGCGGCCGAGATGGCAAGGCGCCGAGCGCCGAGCGGCAGGCAGGACGAAAAGATTAGAGATCAACAGTCCAGACTCCAGACGAAGGAAAAGAAAATGAGCAGTCGGTACCAATTGCTGGCGCTAGCGTAACGCTTCGTAACCGATCGCATGGGCCTCACGCCCTAGCCCATCTCGTTTTTTTACATTTTTTTGCTGGGCATTAGTATGTATATATACTACATCATGGGCCCCCCACCCGCCTGGGCCCTGGGCCGCCGCCCCACCGCCCATGCCCCAGGGCCGGCCCTGATCACTGCTCCAGTAGCACCCATCTCCTCCTGAAGGCTGACGGCAGCATCAATACTCAATTTAACATGACCCTCCGGAGGTTTCGACCACCCATGCTTCTCGATGCACTTTTTGGAGTAGGGTTGGAAGTGAGCACAAAGTAAACCCAATCAAAAATGATCTGAGATGTAAGCACAGAGACTAAGCTATCGTTGTACGAGCATCCATAAATAACCGTTGTCTTAACAGGAAAAGAAAATTACCATGATCTATATTTATGTCAATATTCCAGTACAGAAGATAAGACAGTTCACAAAACCAAATTCTCATAATCTAATTAATTAATCATATTAGGTTCGCTGTACAACGAATGTAGGTCTGCAGCGCTACATACAGCAGGGGCCTTTTCCGCGCCTAAAAAGACACATGCGCATTTGCTGCAGTCCCCCAGGTATAGCTTATAGCTTACTTGCCTCTGGCTGAACTGACTTGTAACCGATACACAATTAAGAATCTTGCTGAAGAGATTGTCGTTACAAAAGCATTGTTTGTAATATATGATTCATGGAGCTATAAGCATTTGCAGACACTCTCATCATTCCTCTCATGGACCCATGACCAAGTTCCCAGCACCGCTATAGCATAGGTTAGCTGAATGGTCCATCGGTGTGGCTCTGAAAGTAAACCCTTCGTTACCTTTCTCTTCTCTGGAACCATACATGCGGCCAGCAGAGTTTCCTTGTACCGTTGGCACTGCCATTGATGATGGATGTCTCATGTTGCCGTACATCGAAGCCATGGATTGCATCTGGTACTGCATCTGATCAGGACCTGAAGACTGCATTTGGTTTGTGGCATCGCTGTGGTTCGGGCTGATCCCAACACCAAGGTCAAGACTGACATTGTCGGTTTCAGCGGCTTGAGAATATTGGTTGCTGAAGTTCCTGGCTTCACATGCTCTCATCATGCCGCCAATGCTGCTGGGCATACTGCTGTTAATCTGATGCACGACATTCTTCATGGGAGGCGCGGACATCTCATGGGTTGCATTCCTCGCAGCAGGGACTTCATGGTTATGTTTTCCTTCATAAGTTGTTATCACTGATTTAGGATCGTGCGATGCTCTCTCAACATGCTTCCTCACAGGGCATCCTGTGCTTGTGCATTTGTAGTAACTCCTGCAGCCAAGAACAAAAAATATATAAGAGTGCAATGGCTCACATAACAAACTGAGTAGCTACTGGCTACATACAAATCCATTCACAAGGTGATACAAATTTAGGTCGCTGTGCGATCCATGTGGTTGACTTTTCAAAACATCAATCACTAGAATCAATCAAGCCCTTAAAAGCCTAACTCCCATAATTATCATACAAAAAAAATTCATGCTCATGTGACTCATTACTTGGTGATGTATGTTATTGTCCATTATTACTTGGTGCTGTATGTTATGGTTCATTATTACTTGGTGCTGCTGTGGTCAGGTTGAATGAGTGTAGCAGTGTGATTAACCACAGTGGTTGAAGTGCTTTTTTTACTAGAAAAATTGCTGCCTACCTGTCCTAAAAGAAAAAGGCTGGAACATTTAATGCTCATAGCTTTGTTTTTAAGAAGACATGCATTCGAATGATCGCATCTTATTTGTTATAGAGGACTAGCATAATGTCTGTGTGTTATTAGGCAACCACAAAAATGGTTACAGTTGTACTCCCTCTGTAAAGAAATATAGAGCGTTTAGATCACTATGCAGAGGGAGTATTAGATTAGTAGCAGTATACAACAACCAATGCACTTGCTAAGCATAACACCATAAAAGGTAATACACCATAACTATAAATGGATACTGGGAGGCCGGAGGACACGGATTGGGAAGGAGGGAGCGCCAGCCAGCGACTGGCTGGCTTGTGTTGCAGTGGAAAAAGAAGTGTACGCTCGTGCACTTGTAAAGTATTTTCTCATTCAAAAAATATTAGTAGGCGCTGGCTTGCTAGTTTGACTGAGCTATGTGTAGCAGGAGGTGTGGGGTCCATAATTGCATTATATTGCTGTTTTGTTTATCATTTTCTTTTTTTGCCTGGTTCCTGGATGGATGAGAGAAATTGGGCTGGAGTGGTGGGAGTGAACTCACCACCATCACCACTAACTCCAATTGTTAAGATAAATAAAATAGGAATAAAAAAGTATATGAGTATATATAGAACATCGATCCTTCGTGAAAGATCTACGCTTGTAGCAATCCTTGTTGAGCCACATTCTTTTATTGGAACAAGTGGGAGTTGTGGTGCCATTTGCATTTGATCAAGTATGTTACAAGGTGAGCTTTTTGGAGTTTGGACCTGCATTATGGGTACCTCTTACACTTTGTTTCCGTGTGTGATCAGCACGACCCAACCAATTAATGCTAACTCTAATTCTGCTTACGTTTTGGGACAGTTGTGCATGTAATCCAAACAGAATAATTTATTAGACAAGAATATTGTTTGTCAATTAGTGCAAAAGTTATCCCAGACCATGAATTCATTTGCCTCTTGGAGGAGGTGCAGGGAAAGCCGATGATGCGTTGGCTCCGATCTGACATGTAAACTGTACGAAATTCCATTGGTGTGTTCATTAGCAAACTATAAATAAATGCGCGAAGTTAAAGCAATCTGCAAGCACAATGGCCATACAGATCACAACACATCTATCGGACGGTGATGCATGGGTGGATATAGCCCTTGAGGGGCTAAAAAAACTGGACTACAAATTAAATGCCTCCCTTTGGTATACATGGGAATGGCATTTCATATGGCACGGTGTATCCGTACAACATTGCCATTTTAACGTACTTACAAAATGAAGTACTCCCTCCGATCCGAATTAATTGACGCAGCCTCTATACAATGTCCTTTACATTGTATAGAGGCCGCGTCAATTAATTCGGATCGGAGGGAGTAGTGAAAGGCCATGGCATACAAATACATGCAAGCACACCAGTATAATCTGTTTGGTTGTCAAAGTTTCCACTGCTAATGTTTGCAAAAATTCTGGTCATGCCCGTGAATATTTGGCCAAAAAAGAACCAGGAGTTGGAAGTCAAAACTTAGGCAGCAAAGCAAATGCATGACAAATACATTTTCAACACTAGCAATTCTTACGCAACCATTAGCTTCAAACCAAATATTTATGTAGCTTGTCTTTCCTCCCTCATGAAAAGGGCGTCTTTGACTAGCTAGCAACTCAAACTGCAAGGGATTATTCTAAAGCCTTACACCCCATGCATAAATAAGCTCGCTGCACATATGGACTTCGGGCCAAATATCACCCTTCCTAAAACATACACCAGCCAATCAATTGACTTCACTTTGTATGCTTAGGGATAATATTTTATATAGTACTACCTAATATAAGACGTTTTTGCAGTTCAACGTCTTATATTTAGTTACAGAGGTAGTATAATTTAACAGTGGAGCATTGCTTTCTAGTTTTATTATCTCTGCTAATTATAGTGTTGCAGGGCTCATCGTATACACGCGTATACATGATACATCAATATAATTATGTGTCATGACATAAATGAAGTGGGTGTGTTTTTGTTTTTGCATTATATGTTATATGATTCTCAATATCATATGTTATATGATTCTCAATATCATATGTGCCTTTAAATGTGATCTTCACCAGAAGGGGGAAAAGTCATCATATAACAAAACTAATGGACCTCTGTACCAGCCCACATAAATAATACGCCCTCCGTTCCAAAATACTTGTCGTGGTTTTAGTTCAATTTGAACTAAAGCCACGACAAGTATTTTGGAACGGAGGGGGTAGAACTGAATGATAAAAACTATATGACAGACTAAACGCGGTCTAGCTTTGAGCGGCCTTCAAGACACATGTGCTGATTGTAGTACGGAATAGGAATTCTTCCATATCCGCATGTGATCACCAACAGTGAATCAGTGATAAAGGTGAAGTAACAGATATTTCATCCTCATCTACCACATGTCTTCACCAGATGTTCACTTATTCATTCATATAAAACCTTGAGCGTGGGTGTGAAGTAGAATACTTGTTCAATGGCCATTTTATTTCATTTCTATCAGTCTTCTACAACAAATTTATGATTGAAGATATTACATTTAACCAGTATCATCTTAATCACAGGCTCTCTTATGTTAGGGATAAAACTCTAACACATGCATGACTCATGACTGAGAAAGCATATAAAATACAATTATGCATAGACATGTCGCAAAATACAGAGTGCACAAGTTCTTAGCCAGAATAGATATTTACCATTACAATGACAATCTTCTCAAGAGCCAGACAACAAAAGGATAAAAAGCAACTAATGAAGAAAATAAGTACTTACCGTGGATTGGGGTTTCCTTTGACAACTTTCTGTCCATATTTCCGCCAACGATACCCATCATCCAAGATGTCAACCTCACTTACAGTCTGAACAACAACACGGGGCTCACGGTTAGGTTTACCCATCAGAGCAGCATCAATACCTGCAGACTCCATTTTCCTGTTTTCATATTTGATGGTTGTAGACAAGATTAGCACTTGACACTTGACAGGAATGATTCTTTAAAGTGTAAATTTACCAAATCCAGACCAAGCATACCTGCGTTTCGACTCTAAATCCTCCTCCTCTGTAGCATCATCCCCAGGGTAGGGTCTTCCACCTCCAGCATCTATGTCATCATCACTAACTGAAACTGGAACAGGCTCAACCATGCCAGGCGAATTTACCGGATTAGCAAGGTTGCTAAGAGCATTGGAAGATTTATCTGCAAAACAGAATAGAAGTCTGAGATAGCGACAAAACAATGACTACAAGAAAATTAAAGCATTTCTACCACAAGCTCTCTTTTTGTGTACGGACTGGTCAATATATATCTATTGTGATGCCCACGTTCGACTCAGGGAAACTCATATGTACTAAATCAGCGACAATTAATATAGATTGGAGTGAGAATTAGATTTGAGCATTGTAACTTTAAGGGAATCATTTCCAAGAATTTTACTATTTTGAACTGATGGTTTTTAATACTACTAGTACTATATTAAGTTCATAAAAAATAGGAAGCTACTCGAGAGGAGGGAAAGGCAGCAATGGGATCGTAAAATTCAACCATAGATGTCGATACATTTTTACTTCCATACTAGATACAAGAACGCAGGATGCCAAGCTCCAAACTATAGGGACCTGATGCAGTATTTCCAAGAAATCATGACAAACATCTCACCATCAGCAGCTGCCGCACCATCATATCGTTCTTCACCCTGGTTCGAAGGAACTGCACCACCAGCTAACCTCCTATTAGGCTGGGGCTTAGGATGATTATGGCGCCCCTTATAGACAACTTCCGTGATCAGACCATCAACCGCACGCTCCAATAGCTTTTTTACTTCACAATTAGGATGTGTGCACTTGTAATAACTTCTAGGGTTTTCACTTCCCTTGACATGCTTCTGCCCATATTTGCGCCAGTTGTAGCCATCATCTGCTGACTTGTCAGCAACATTTTCAGACTGCGGCTCTTGCATGGCATTGTCAGAACTATTCATCTGCTGCGGCTCAGATGTACCAACTTCAGCACGCATGTTGTCAGTCAAACCAACCATTCCAACAGGTTGGTTCGGAGCACTTACATTCACTGTAAGACTTGACTCGCGTGAACAGGGAGGTCTGTTTTCATTCACCATATTGCTAGATGATGAGCTGGGATTCATACTCTGATTTTGCATAGAATGCTCGTGTTTTTTTAGATCACTCATAGCAGGAGCCTGCAGTACAAAATATGAGCATTACAAATGTTACACGATGCAAAACAAAATATGCAAAAACAAGTCAACAGGAATTAAGAAAGAATGTGACTAACATAGCAAGCACAGATAGATCTACTACATGTGTACCATAGTTTCTCCCCAAACTGTCATTCAAAGTGCTTTCTTCAAACTCTATTATTTAAAGAAACTTCTCCACTACATGTGAAAGACGTAATGCTACATATGGACATTGAGTTAATGAGTTCTATACTGAGATTTGCCATGCATCTGGGATAGTGTTACCTTCCTACCCTCCAAAAAAGATCAGAATAAAATAGGTAAGTTCGTACAAACATTTACAAATGATAGGCAAGATTATGAATTATGCAACAATTCAAGAACCTAGCCGAATTATGGTTATAATATGCACAATAAAGGCCAGATATATTTGTGGGGTCATATAGAAACAAAATGCTTAAATTTTCTTTTGATGTTCTGCAAGATAAAGTACATTAATCTCTATGGGACACAGAGAAAAGAAAATTAAAGGTTGTGTACCAGTGATTGAGAAGACGAATTCAGATGAGGCTTGAATTCAAAATCCCTAGAACCCCCATCTTCATGGGCTCGAATAGACTTATCCCGTGGCGAAGACAGTATGTCTGGATGAGCACTCTTGTGCATAATTGCAGCCATGCTCAGACTACCAGTTGTTGGTGAAGGTTCAACCTGAAAGAATTTTTTGTTAAATATTTTCGATGTCTACCACGCTTTAAGACCTCTGAATACTTGTAAACACAAAAAAGGAAGTACAACAACACTATAGCCTGCAAATTGCATATATGAAGTACATCGCCCTCTGAAATAAATGCCACCTTAATAAACATTTTTCTTTACTACAGCCTGCAGATTGCATATATGAAGTACCTCGCCCTCTGAATAAATGCCACCTTAATAAATATTTTTGTTCAAAAGTAACAAGTTTGCCAAACATTTTCTCCTATGCTTGAAAGAGGAAACATGAAGAAGAAGAAGGCCGGCAAGAACAACAGAGCAAGACAAAGAAAGTAACAATGATGCTGCAAGCAAGTGACTAGGGCACTAGGCCCAGCAAGCAAGGGCTATTTCAGTTTGTACGCTGCCAGCAAGAGGACTCAGGAAAACAAATAGCACTTCTACAACCAATCCCGAGGAAGAATAACAACCAAACGGTCAACCCGAACACAATTACTTGGTGATTTCCTTCTGGACGAACACCATAGCTTAGCACACCACCAGTATAATACCGGCCAGAGCCCAAGGGGCGTTTCCTTAAATAAGGCCCTACGAAGCCCCCGTAAAAGGAATGTCAAATGATGATTTGTTCTCGTAGCCACCAAGTGTGTGCATAACTAACAGAATAATTCCCTGCAGACGCACAAGCAACAGCATCCACCTCACTCCACAGCAAGTAGACGGCATGGGGACGCTCCAAAAGACGAAACGGAGGGAAAACAAAACATATCACGAAGAACCCTCGCAGAAAAGGAAGTTCCAGAATCCTCATGGCACCGCCGGAAATGCGAAAGCGCACAGAGAAAGCGCGTTATTCCGAGGCCACGAGCCAATTCCCCCGCGCAATTGTCTCATAAACTAGAGCGCAGAGCTATGCGCATCGGAATCCCTCCTTTTCCCCAGCTCAGCATGACACGGACGCCGTACAGCCCGCAGATCCCGCGGTAACAAGGAACAGCAGGCGAGAGGCGATAGGTACAGTACAGGGAGGCGGCAGTCACCTTGAAGTTGGTGAGGAGCACGGGGGAGTCGAGGAGGGCGGAGGGGCTGAAGCCGGCGGGGATGGTGAGGCAGGGCTCGCGCGAGATCGGCAGCCGCGCCGGGGACATGGCCTTGTACCTCGCGCCCGCGCCGGCGAGCGCCGCGACGCGTCGATCCGCGGGGTACGGCTTCTCGGGCGAGCTCCCGGCGGCTGAGGGGAGGTCCCCGGAGCTAGGGTTTGGCGAATCGGCCATCGGCGCGGTGCGGGGCTGAGCGGAGGGGCCTGAGTGAGGAGGAAGGCGGAGGTGGTTTTGGAGGCGACGGTGAGAGGGGCAGTTTGGGGAGGGCGGGCTCGTCCGCTAGCGAAGGCGGCGTGGGGCGTGAGGCTGCGGCTCGTGTGGACTTAATTAATGGGGACAGGGGAAATTACCCTTCCGCCCCTGGATGGCGCCCGAAATCTCCCCGGTTGGGTACGCACGCGAGCTCAGGGCGGGGAGGGAAGCGGCCGTGCGTGGTGTGGTGTGATGTGAGCAACCGCGGCACGAAACCGGTGGTGGGATCCGGGGGCAGGGGGTGGCGACAGCGACCGCGGCTGGCTGCGGGGTTGGGACTTTGGAGGCACCGATGGGCTGCTTTTCTGGGTGTGGCTGTCGGGTGGGGCCGTGGGGGACCGGTCGCGGTGTCAGCGAGGGGGTGAGGGGGCGGGTTGGGGCTGCGGGTGAGGCTGGGATACTGGTGGGCAGAGTAAATGCGTGTTTTAAATTCGGCATGGGATGCCTGTCAGAGTGCCCCATGATGATCCTCTTGGCATTGAATGAGAACGACATGGTAAATCCAGGCGTGGATTTTAAAATGTCGCCGGGAGTTTCTACCGCGGTTAAGTGGGTTTTATTGTTCTGCAACGACTCTTTTTGGCTACACTGTGTACGAAATCTACGTAGGGTAGAAAAGCATGGACGACTGGCGACAGTGTAACGTGCGGATACGTTGATGAGGCAATTGTGTATTGGGATATCTGCTATTCATGCACCAAAGGGACAAACGAGAAACACGGCTATCTAAGGCCAACTTCAACTCCAACGCGCGACACCATTTGCTCCAGCCGCGTGTCCCTACGAACGGATGTCTTTTTTGTCCGCCGTCGACCCATTTTTAACTAAATTTGGATCGCGTTTGCGTTGAAATGGACAAGACGTGGCGTCGTGGACGCACGCGGGCGCTCTCTTTGTCTTCCCTGGCCTAAGCTGCCGCATTAATATCACAAATGGTTGTATTATATGAACCGTGTCAATATTTAATCATACTCGGTGGCGTGCGTGCAACTGTTTGATTAGACGGGACGAGCGCGAGAAGTCCGCCGTGTAGACTCGACTGGACGTGTGCGAGCAATCCGCCGCGCAGGCTCGACGGGACGTGTGCATCCTGTCCACCTCGCAGGCTCGACGGGACACGGGCGAGCAGCAAGGCCGCTCATGCTCACCCGGAAGCGAGCTCTTTGACCTCCATGCACCAGCCGCCGCCCACCTCACTCAAAACTTCGCCATTAATGGGTTAATTAAAGTGACTGGACGGAGGGTGTTTGGTTGTGATCCCATAGCAGCATTTGCTTTGTTCGTGTTTTCAACTCGTATTTCGCCCTAATTTAAATTGCCACATAGGGCAACGAATAATACGACGACAAATAAAATGGCAAGGGATAGTACAACGATAAATTTACAATGGCACGGATAATAATTGTCTTACATATTTCGAATAATTTTAAATGCCACATGCGGCAAAGTCCGGAAGACACGGGGCAGGAATCTGACATTTGGCGCGCCGGGTAGGGGTGCGCCGGAATCTTTCTTCCGCTAGTCGCGTGTGATCTTCCGTCGTGTCCATGACTGACGCTCGCCGAGCTCGCGCCGAGCGTCGGGCTGCTCTCGCCACCCGCGTCGCCCAGACGGCGCCCGTCGGCGGTCACCCCCATCGTTCCCCGTCGCCTGCCGCCAACGCCGCCACTGGCCCGGCGGGGAACGAGCAGCAGGCCTCGTCCCTGCATCCTTCAGTGCGGCGCGATGGCCGCACCGCCACCCCGTCGCTGACTCCAGTCGGTTCGCCGTCCCACGCCCGTCGCGCCCCCACGGACGCGCACGCCGCACTGCTCCTGGCGCGTGAGCTCCTGCACTACCGTCCCGTCGACGACCTCTACGAGGACTGGCTCGCCCGCATCACCGAGCTTGTCAGCGCCGCAGGGGGCTCTCCCATGCCGTCCCTCTCGCTGCCTCGCCCTCCATCCCGTGCGGGAGGCGAGGAGCAGGAGATGCCTCCACCACCTCCTCCCCAAGAAGGCGCCCTGGCTCCAAGGCGCGCGGCCCCAGGACGAGACCCTCCGTGTCCAGCGCCTGCGCGACAAGAAAGGAGCTGCCAGGAAATCTCTCGTCCCCAAGAAGGTGCTCGCGTGCTTCCGGCACATGTGCGCCATGACCGCGCCCCTGCGCCGCCACGTCAAGACCCCGCGCTGCTCCAGGCAGCGGTGCGCGGGAATCCCCAGGAGCAAGCCCCGCATCAGCAGAGAGCTCCGGTGGCCACTGCAGGCTACCGCGCCTTCACCTCCGAGCTGCGTAGCGTCGCATGGCCCGACAAGTTCAAGCCGGACCTGCCTCCTCGCTACGAAGGCACTGCAGACCCCGCGGAGTTCCTCCAGCTCTACGAGCTGGGCATCGAAGCCGCCAACGAGGACGAAAAGGTCATGGCGAATTGGTTTCCCATGGCGCTCAAGGACGGTGCCCGCACCTGGCTCCTGAACTTGGCCCCTGGCACGACCTCCTCCTGGGACGAGATGCGCACCCGCTTCATCGCCAACTTCCAAGGCACTCGCGACCAGCCCCCGGCCATGAGTGACCTGCGCCGCATCAAGCAACAACCAGGAGAGACCATATAGAAGTACATCCAGCGCTTCAACAACGCCCGCCTCAAGATCCCCAGGGTGACTGGGGAGGCCATCATCTCAGCCTTCTCCGACGGCGTGTGTGACATCAAGATGAAAGAGGAGCTAGTAATCCATGAAGACCTGTGCACATCACTAGAGCTGTTCAACTTGGCGACCAAGTGCGCCAGGGCTGAGGAAGGGCGTCTCTCCCTCCTCGAGCTTCCGGCTGCTGGCCCAAAAGAGAAGAAGCCCAAGGTCAAGGACGTGAAGCGCAAGGGGGCTGCCGTGCTCGCAGTAGAGCCAGACACCAAGCGAGGCAGGGATCAGCCTGAGTCATCCAAGGGCAGCCGGTACTGCATGTACCACGACCTCCACACCCACGACACCAATGAATGTCAAGAGCTCAGGGCCATGCGAGATGAGCGTATCGGCCGGCGTCCCGACCGCAACGACCGGGGCTATGGACGAGGAGGAGGAAGAGGTGGAGGACGATGGGAAGACCGTGGCCCTCGCCAAGGGGGGAGTGACCGACCTCGCGAGGACCGCTGGCAGGACCAGCCTCGCGAGGGAGGTTGGACAGATCAGCCTCGTGAGTGAAGGAAATATGCCCTAGAGGCAATAATAAAGTTATTATTTATTCCCTTATTTCATGATAAATGTTTATTATTCATGCTAGAATTGTATTAACCGGAAACATAATACATGTGTGAATACATAGACAAACATAGTGTCACTAGTATGCCTCTACTTGACTAGCTCGTTTATCAAAGATGGTTACGTTTCCTAGCCATGGACAAATGAGTTGTCATTTGATTAACGGGATCACATCATTAGGAGAATGATGTGATTGACATGACCCATTTCGTTAGCTTAGCACTCGACCGTTTAGTATATTGCTATTGCTTTCTTCATGACTTATACATGTTCCTGTAACTATGAGATTATGCAACTCCCGTTTACCGGAGGAACACTTTGGGTGCTACCAAACGTCACAACGTAACTGGGTGATTATAAAGGAGTACTACAGGTGTCTCCAAAGGTACATGTTGGGTTGGCGTATTTCGAGATTAGGTTTTGTCACTCCGATCGTCGGAGAGGTATCTCTGGGCCCTCTCGGTAATGCACATCACTATAAACCTTGCAAGCAATGTAGCTAATGAGTTAGTTACGGAATGATGCATTACGTAACGAGTAAAGAGACTTGCCGGTAACGAGATTGAACTAGGTATTGGATACCGACGATCGAATCTCGGGCAAGTAACATACCGATGACAAAGGGAACAACGTATGTTGTTCTGCGGTTTGACCGATAAAGATCTTCGTAGAATATGTAGGAGCCAATATGGGCATCCAGGTTCCGCTATTGGTTATTGACCGAGAATAGTTCTAGGTCATGTCTACATAGTTCTCGAACCCGTAGGGTCCGCACGCTTAAGGTTTCGATGACAGTTTTATTATGAGTTTATGAGTTTTGATGTACCGAAGGAGTTCGGAGTCCCGGATGAGATCGGGGACATGACGAGGAGTCTCGAAATGGTCGAGGCATAAAGATCGATATATTGGACGACTATATTCGGAGTTCTGAAAGGTTCCGAGTGATTCGAGTATTTTTTGGAGTACCGGAGAGTTACGGGAATTCGCCGGGGAGTATATGGGCCTTATTGGGCTTTAGGGGAAAGAGAGAGGAGAGGTTGGGTGCCCCCCCAAGGCCTAGTCCGAATTGGACTAGGGGGAGGGGCTGCGCCCCCTCCTTCCTTCTCTTCTCTTCCCCCTTTCCTTGACTCATACTCCTACTACTTGGAAGGGGGGGAATCCTACTCCCGGTGGGAGTAGGACTCCTCCTTGGTGCGCCTCCTCCTAGGCCGGCCACCCCCTGCCTTGCTCCTTTATATACGGGGGGCAGGGGGGCACCCCATGACACACAAGTTGATCTACGGATCGTTCCTTAGCCGTGTGCGGTGCCCCCTCCACCATATTCCACCTCGGTCATATCGTCGCGGAGTTTAGGCGAAGCCCTGCGCCGGTAGAACATCATCATTGTCACCACGCCGTCGTGCTGACGGAACTCATCCCCGACGCTTTGCTGGATCGGAGCCCCGGGATCGTCATCGAGCTGAACGTGTGCTGAACTCGGAGGTGCCGTACGTTCGGTACTTGGATCGGTCGGATCGTGAAGACGTACGACTACATCAACCGCATTGTCATAACGCTTCCGCTTACGGTCTACGAGGGTAGTGGACAATACTCTCCCCTCTCGTTGCTATGTCATCACCATGATCTTGCGTGTGCGTAGGAAATTTTTTGAAATTACTACGTTCCCCAACAGTGGCATCCGAGCCAGGT